ACAGGTCCGACCCCGGCTGCCGAGTGAAGGTAGCCAAGTGACGGCCCGTACGAGCACACATGCAGTGTGTCACGCGCTCGTAGGCAGGGGTGAACTGGTGAACACCCCCGTCCTGGAGCGCACATCCTGCCACCAGGTTCGTAGAGAACGAGGGGAGGTGGAGACCTGACAGTGTGCCCGGCGGGACCACAGGACAGGGAAGGAAAGTGGAGGAGGTCGCAATGACCGGACCCCCAGAGGGGTCAGCGAGGGAGACAGCAATTGGCCGAGCAAGCGGCTCAAGGGCAGTGCGGTCACGAAAGAAGCAGCGAGAAGCACCTGAGTCCAGTGTGAAGGTGTGTAGTGTTGCAGTCGACTCAGTACCAGGGGGGGCAGACGCACAAGCACCTAGAGCAGTGGCCTCACCAGCACCTGGGGTAGCAGACACGCGAGTACCTGAAGCGGCAGACGCTCTAGACCTAATGCCCGGGTCGGGCGGCACACACAGGTACTCAGCACCCTCTCCACTAGTAGACATCACATACATAGCAGATAGAATAGCATCAAAGTCTAAAGCATAGATATCAATCCCCTTCCTCAGGAGATCAATCCAGCGGGGCAGCTCAGTGGCCTGAGGGAACTGAACACGCCAAGCATCGTTGAGACGAGCGAAGCAGCGCTGTGTGGCGTGCGATCCCCCACACGGCTGACCAGTGCGGTCACCCGTGCGAATGACGTACGTGCAGCTAAAGCCACCCCCCCCCCCTCCCCCGTGCAGTGAGTACCACTCACGGACCTCCTGGGGCGACGGAGTGTGCTGCTGGCCCTGGCCACCGCCAGCGCCTCCACGACCACCACCGCCGCCGCCACCTCCTCGACCACCCCAACCCCTGCCGCCGCCGCGTCCACCGCCACCCTCACCACCGCCTCCGCCCCTGCCACCTCCCCTGCCGCTGCCGCCACCACCCCCACCGCTACCACTAGCCCCACCAGTCCCACCACCACCCCACCACCGCCTCCCCCGCCGTCACCACCTCCTCCCTTGCCCCCATTACCCTTGCCGCTGCGGCGCCCGCTCGAAGCAGACGCAGTACCGACCTTCTCAGCACCAAGGAGGTTGACAGCAGCAGCAAAGGCGACAGAGGGAAGAAGGGGGGGAAGGAGAACACCCCTCAAAGAACGGGGTACGGGGTTCGCCACGAGAGGCACCTACAGCTACGATGCTAGCCTCAACTGCAAGGAGTTCCTTCTCGAGGAGGGCAATGGTGAGCTCAGTGGGGCAGCGAGCTAGGAAGTGATCCCTGACAGCACACAGAGTGTCAGGGAGGCGGGTGACTAGGTGGTAGAGAGTGAGCCAGAGTGGGGGGGGGGTGCGTGGCAAGGAACTCATCAGGCATGGCGGCACGGAAGCGGGCCTCACTAGTACGGAGGTGCGTGATGAGGTCACCGACTGTGTGGAACGATGCCGGGTCGGGAAACAGGTAGGGGAGGGAGAGACGGCCTAGGGCGGCAGAGGCAGGTGAGGAGTAGCGAGCAACGACAGCTGTGTACAGTGCCTGTGCAGTCTTGTGCTGGCCAAAGTGCTCGCGCTCATCTATCGGCAGGGAGTTGCGAATAGCGAAGCGAGCGTGGGCATCACGAGTCTGCCACTGTGAGCGGGCTGTGGTGTTAGCAGTAGCAGCAGGGGCAGTGACATGGCCTAGGGCGTGGTCGTACAGTGAGATGTCGTCCTTGGCTGTGAGCTGTAGATAGAGGTGCAGGTTGTCTAGCAAGGTGTCAAACTTCACTGGGCGACCCTCAGCATCGAAAACTAGCACCTGTGGGCTAGCCATAGGAGCAGTAGGAGTAGGAGGATGAAGCAGGTAGGGCGGCTCGGTTTAGGTAGGGCGGCGCGGCTCGGGTGGGGCGGCGCGGTTCGGTTCGGGTCGCGCGACTCGGTTCGGTCCTGAGCGGCTCGGTTCGGTCCTGGGCTGTGGCGGTCACGGGCCGTTCGGGGCCTCTAGGGGCGGTGAGCGCGGGGCCGACGGGGCCGTTCGGGGCCTCTAGGGAGGTGAGCGCGGGGCCGTAAAGGGGCCTCTAGGGGCCGACGGGGCCGTTCGGGGCCTCTATGGGCCGACGGGGCCGTTCGGGGCCTCTAGGGAGGTGAGCGCGGGGCCGACGGGGCCGTAAGGGGCCTCTAGGGAGGTGAGCGCGGGGCCGACGGGGCCGTTAGGGGCGATCGCGGGGCCGACAGGGGCCGCTAGGGGCGAGCGCGTGGGCCGTTCGGGGCCTCTAGGGGCGAGCGCGGGGCCGTAAAGGGGCGAGTGCGGGGCCGTAAGGGGCAAGCGCGTGGGCCGACGGGGCCTTGAAAACCGAGGCGCCCTAGGGCGCAGGTAGGTAGGTAGGTAGTGGTGGGCCCTAAAAAAATCGGTCCTAGGAAGGACCTGCTCTATACCATGTTGAAATGAATGAAGAGGAATGGATGAACTAACAGTGAAAACAGTACAAGTACCTAACCCTAGAATTGTGTACCCCTTATAGGCTAACCCACTGTAGCCTAAACAAGCAGAACATATATAATGTTTGACAGTACCAGCCTACCGCCCTCTTCGACAGCTCCTTCTCTTAGAGGCGCACGACGTAGTTAGTGCAGGTCACTTCGGAGCAGATAAGACGGCTAAGACGCTTAGTCGCACGTACTACTGGCCAGGGCTTGCAGCAGACGTAGAGGATTACATTCGCTCGTGCGACACGTGTCAGCGTACGAAGTCCTCTAGCCAGCTCAAAGCAGGACTGTTGCAGCGGATTCCACCGCCCGACAGCCCTTGGCACGTAGTCACACTGGATTTCATCATGGCATTACCGCGCACAGTTAGGGGTCACGACGCCATCTTCGTAGTAGTGGATAAGTTTTCTCGAGCAGCGCACTTCATCCCCACGCGCGGCAAGGTTATAGCAGAGGAAGTCGCGACGCTGTTCATAGATAACGTAGTGTGACTGCACGGGGTTCCAGATTCCATCATCTCAGACCGCGACCCTCGTTTCACTTCAAAGTTCTGGAAGCAGCTTTTCGCACTGTTCGGGACTCGCTTAGCCATGTCGTCTGCGTACCATCCAGAGACAGACGGATAGACCGAGCGTGTCAACCAGACCTTGGAGCAGATTCTTCGCAGCATCACGATGCACGACGCAGCCGCATGGGACAAAAAGCTGAGCATGGCCGAGTTCGCCTACAACAACACGCACCATTCGTCCACAGGCATGTCACCGTTTTTCGCACTGTACCGTCAGCACCCCAACGTCCCCACTCGTGTCGATCTCACACCCACAGTCCCTCGTGCGGACAACTTCCACCAGCATCTCACCTTCATTCATGATCACGAAGCACCTTGAGCTCGCAAATGCACGCATGGGACGCACCACCAACCGCTGTCGTCGTGAGGTGTCGTTTTCAGTTGGCGACCGTGTCCTTCTCGACAGCCGCAACCTCCGACTGCCACATGACAGCAAGCTTCGCCCTCGCTTCATCGGTCCATTTGTCATTGAGCACGCACTTGGTCCAGTCGCATACCGCCTCCGCCTTCCCGCTCATTTTCGCATGCACCCATCATTCCACGTGTCGCTTCTTCGTCCTTACACCGATCTCAACGCCACTTTCTCTGGACGTGACCGCACTCCACTGCCGGTAGCTGTTGACACCGACGAGCCCGACTACCAGATCCAGCGCATCCTCAGGCACTAGCGCCGTCTCAAAGGGGATGTCCCTTTCATCGACTTCTTGGTTCGTTGGCGTGGTTACGACGCAGCAGACGACAGCTGGGTTCCTTCGTCCTCGCTGTTTCCTGACAACGCTTGCCTCCAAGCGTACCTCCAGTCTGCACGCGCCGCGGACGTCGCCTCCTTGGGAGGAGGGTAGTGTTAAGGGGGGATTTACTGTTCATTCCGAACAGTACTTTCCAACTCACCCTTATCGTTATCTTCCTTGATTTCTTAGTGCCACGTGGCACTCTACCTTTCTTGCCTTCAATTCCTAGTCCCAAAAAGTACTTTCCGGCATTCGATCTTGCATGCTATATCAACCTTGCTTGTACTTGCCATTATCAACCCATTCTCATTCAACTCTTCTTCAATTACTCAGTAAATTCTTTAGCGGACTTGGGCCGTCGGGCCTAACACCCACATTCACCCACGTGTCACAAATTTGGAAAGTTATAAAACGCACGGCAAAAAAAAAAACCCATAGGGAACCTGGACTCATTTTCGGGAGGGATCAACCCTAAACATTGGAACCCACATTTTTTTAAGGGTTGATGCCTCCCCGAGACGCATCCCTTCCCGATTGGGTTTTAGTTTTTTTCGGTCAGGTAAAGGGATATTTTTTCCGGTGGCTTGCGAAATTTGTGAAACGTGGGTGAATGTGGGACCGAGTTCTAGGTTGTTGCCATAATGTTCCTGTCGGAGTTGCGGAGTGGCGGAAAGTGCCCGCATATAGCACTGTAGTCCCCTTGAAAGCGCAAGGTCGCTAGTAGTACCCCTGCGAAAGCTACTTACCCATTTGGGTTTTGCACGTCCTCTACAAAGATGTGTGCGATGCACACACAGGTCGTGAACACATTAACTGGGTACGTAAAAACAGGCACGTTCTATCCTTGTGACAAGACACACCAAGGAGGAAGTAGTATTAGTTTCCACATCAGGACTAGTACCAACATACATTGCAATAAATACCAGTCCATACGGCTGCACAGCGCATACCGATAAAGCAATACTGCGACAATTCCTACTAAACCAAGTCTAATCAGCTCGACATCAAAACACCCGGCAGAAAATAACCGTAAGCGCCACGCGAGCCTATTCAGATACGTACAAGTACCACAACCAAGGAACATGCGACACATGGCAGCGACATGGGGATTGACACAGCGATTATACTGCAGGAAGTGAGCAGGGACAAGGTTACAATCTTGCGAGTAGCAGCTGCGAGTCCGTGCGACAAACACAAGCCAAGGGAGGCATGGCGAGGCGAGGCGAGGCTGCAAGAATTAAGAGTGACAGCAGCAGCCGTTGGATAGAACCTTAGCCTCATCAAACACCAACAGCGTGGAAGACAATGGGAGCCAGGCCTCCAAGAGACCAGGCCAGGCACATATAGGCACAAAGGCGAATACCCGTGTCAACATCAAACTGATGCACCACTGCTTTTGCTGGTTTTGGAGTTACTGCTGCTGCTTCTGCTGTCGCTTTACCACCAGTGGCAGCACCTTTGGCTGATGCAAACGTGCCCCATGATTGCGCTTTGGCTGCGGACCTGGCTGCACCAGCAGAAGTTGACTTGGCGTGAGCTGCGGCACTGGCAGCAAAAGACACTGCTGACTCACTCTTCCTCATCCTGCTCGCCCTCTTCCACAGACCCTTCTTCTCACGTGCACTCCTCTCTGCAACCGCAGTGGCAACAGCCGCAGCAGCAGCAGCAGCAGCAGGAACAGGAACAGGAACAGGGGCAGGAGTAGGAGCATTTACAGTAGTTGCAGCAGCACCAGCAACAGCAGCGGCAGCAGCAGCAGCGCCAGCATCCACGTCACTGCTCCCACCGACAGCCCAAGGCACCGAGACCTCATCCTCGTCAAACTCCTGACAGAACACCCCCCCCCCACAGCTCCCCATAGCAGGCCCCTTCCCCTCCGCCTCCCCACCCCTCCCCTCACCACCAAGCCCACACACACTCCCAACCTTGCGCATGCCCGTAATGCCACCAGGTGCACTCCCCACCCTATGCATGCTGCCACCCACCCGGCGCAGACCCTTAACATATCGCGTGGAGAACACAGGAATTCCGAGGGTGCGGCAGAGCAGCGGCAGCACCTGCTTGGCTGTAGCGCTGCCGATTTCCTTCATAAGCAGCGCGAGAGGCAGGCCTATGAGGGCTCTCGCGGCGATGGTGATGGCGGAGGAGAGAGAGAGGGAGTCGCCGGGAAGGGGCAGTGCGAGGTAGTGCGGACCCAGACCAGGGAGGCTCAGATGGTAGCTTGAGACCTGGGAGACCGGGGGAGAGAGGGGTTCAATTCGATGACCATGGCTGGGGTGGGGATGTGCCCTGCAGCACTGACAGATGCTAGCGACGGGCTTGCACGCCCACATGTGCAGCCTCGTGCTAGCGGCGGTGGCGGCGGCGGCGGCGGCGGTGGTGGTGGTGGTGGTGGTGGTAACTCACGAGGCCGAGAATGACACCGGTGAAGGCATTGTGGTCCTCGTAGCTGGGCGTGGGGCGGGGGGGCGTGGGGTAGGCGAACAGCTGCAGCACCGCCAGGCAGGCGTGGAAGAGCAGCACTGGCAGGGACAGTGGGGTGGAGGTGAGGGCGAGAGCGAGGTGAACAGGGGGAAGTTTAGGCCAGTAAGGGGTGCGGAGAAGTGGGTGAAGCGGGGGGAGAGGGAGAAAAAGGGGAAGCGGGGGAAGAGGGAGAAGAAGGGGAAGAGGCGGGAGAGATTCAAGAGGTCAAGTGGCCGGCCCAGTGAACCTTGTGGGTTACAGAAGGTAGATGAGGAATAGGTTTGGCACAAATGCAGCAGCAGCAGCAGCAGCAGCAGCAGCAGCAGCAGCAGCAGCAGCAGCAGCAGCAGCAGCAGCAGTGCTAGTGTCGGTGGCAATGGCACAGTGAAATGCAAGGGAAAAAGGTGTGCAGCAGCTCACCGTTGGGCCCGTGGATCCAGAAGTGCAGGATGTTCGACACACAGCAGCAGCCGCGGCATAGTCACATTGTGAGGCGCCTAGTTGTGAGGCGCCTAGTTTCGAGGCGTCCCAAAGCTAAAGTGGGCGTGCAGCAGCTCACCGTTGGGCCCATGTATCCAGAAGTGCAGGATGTGCATGTCGACACACAGCAGCAGCAGCGGCATGGCCACTCCTATGGCCATGCCCGCTGCCAGGTCGATGGGCGAATGCATGCCCAGGTACAGGCGGCCTGGGGGAAGAGGGGGGAGATAAGAAGACGGTGGAGATGCGAGAGGGGAATGGAGGACGGGGGAGAAGGAGGAAAGGGGGAGAGGGGCAAGGTGATGAACAGGGATGGAAGAAAGCGGGAAGGAGCTATGGAAGAGAAGTTAAAGAAGGGGTGAAGAAAGAGCGAGATGGTGACCGACAGGGCGAGGCAGGGGGATGGAGGCAGGGCAGTCAGTCATAGGGAAGAGCAGGTCGGTAGGGGAAGAGCAGGTCGGTAGGGGAAGAGCAGGTCGGTAGGGGAAGAGCAGACCAAACTGAGGCCGAAGTGGGAGAACAAGGTCGCATGTGGGGCAGCAGCATACAGTTCAGACAAGGAGGGCGTTGGTGGGTAACAGCATGAGACGAGCGAGGGGCTGGCACACTGTGCAGACTGGGAAAGCGCATGGGTGAGTGCGATATGGTGAGAGTGGAGAGGGGCGAGGGGCGAGGGGCGAGGGGCGAGGGGCGAGGGGAGAGGGGGGCAGGTTAGGGATAACGGGTGAGAGAGTACGCACCAGCGACGACAATAACCACCACAACCAGCGCGACTGTGGCCAGGGGGAGCAGCGCAGAGACGCTCATGCCTTCCCTCAGGTACAGGAAGAGCAGCAGATAGCTGCACGGTGAAGTTCCAGAAGGGAGCGGGTGAGGGTGAACGGGGGGGCAGGGGGAAAAGTGGGACGTGGGGGGTCAGAACAGGAAAGGTAACACGACAAGAAGGGACGGGAAAGCATAGGCAAGGGTGCAGCAGAGAGGACGAGAGAGGAACAAAGGGAGGGAGGGGCAGGGGGCACGGAAAGGAGGATAGGGAGGGACGAACTGGTCGGCGCAGCGAGAGAGAGGGGGAGAGAAGGGGGGAGGGGGAGAGAAGGGGGGAGGGGGAGAGAGGGGGAGAGAGGGAGTACTGACAGGGAGAGTGCGATGGTGTTGATGGTGTGCGAGGAGGGCAGGCCGAACTCGAAGCTGCTCTGCGCGTCCATGTGCGTCCCCGTGACCCGCTGCGCTGGCGGGGAGAGCGGCCGCGGCGCCGCCACCACGTCCTGCTCATGCGCATGCGATTAAGCATACACACATGCACACACCCACACACGCACATGCATGTGGACGCGCACCCACCACATAGGCACACCCACCACACATGCACACACCCAGCACACGCACCCAGCACCCAGCACATACATACGCACACGCACAAGTGTACAAGGACTTGAGCGCCCTGTCACACAACACAGGTCTCGTAACGATATGCGCTCGCTATGGTACAGGCCGAGAGTACACCTACCTAACCGCATCACGCGACACCGTCCACAACTCATCTGCATGACGGACCGACCGTCGACGAGCCTGGCACCAAGAGCGCAGTGCCGTGGCATGGCATGGCACGCAGACACAAAACACACCAGACCAAGTGAGCGCGCACAGAAATGCGCGTGCGGAATGCGCGTGTACGTGTGCGGTCGCGCGGCACAAGGACCAGCGCACGCACCTTGAGCGCGTTCCCTGCGTACGTGCAGAGAGCGAGCAGCAACACCGCCAGCGAGGCGAGATACGGCCTGCCGGACTGCGAAGGCGGGAGCAGGGAGAGGGCGACGAATGGAGGGAGGGAGGGAGAGATAGAGGTGCAGGGAGAAGAGGACGACGGGATAGCTGAGTCATGGTGGGAGGACACCACGCAGGGGAGTAACGACGGAGATACATCCCCGAGCATGCGCGGTGGAGAAGGAAAGGGCGAGGAAAAGACATGGATAGATAGACGCAAGCATACACGAATAGAGCAATATGCCTGGAGAAGAGGGAGGGAACGAAGGGGAGCGGGAGGAAGCGGGAGGGAGCGGAAAAGAGCGGGAGGGAGCGTGGGGGAGCGGGAGGGAGCGGGAGGGAGAGGGAGGGAGCGGGAGGGTGCGGGAGAGAGCGGGAGGGAGAGGGAGGGAGGGAGGGTGCTGGATGGAGAGGTAAGGAGCGTACCCAGAAGAGGACGGGGAGAAAGGCGGTGTAAAACTCCACGGAGACCGCCATAGCCATGAACGACATGAACGCGTCCAGCCATGGCCGCCGGTAGCGCTGCGCGCAGACAGAGAGAGGCGAGACGGGGAGGAGGTGGGGTGGCGATTGGGGTAAACAGATTGGTCTCTGTCTCGCCCATCCAAGCGAGGCGCGACTCTGCGCATCTCCGTCCACTCTCTCTCATGCCACCGTCCTCTCCCCTTCTCAAGTCTCCCGTTCTTCTATCTCAAAGCATGTCGCGCCTCGGCCCTTGAGCATCCCACCCACCACACGCCTCCTTCCTCACGCGCGCTACCACGCGCCTAAGGCGTGTGCCTTCGCCTTGGGATGTTCGAGTCGGCTCACGGCGGAGACGAGCCGTGCAGCCGCTTGTCACGAAAAAGGGGTCGAAAGCTGTCGTGCCGGGGCGAACAGTCGACTCGCATCCGGAAAAAAGCGCAACGCGCATTGCGCGACACGCAAGCGGCAAGGTACAAGGAGGAGCAAGGCGCAAATATCCCGCGCGCCGCACATCCCAATGACGCACTACACCACTCCTCCTCCCTTTCCTCCTTACCTGAATGCTAACGACCGTCGCCGTGCCTCGCTCCACCATACGCGTTACAAACGGCTGCAGGACTCGGCGCAAGCGTACGGTGAGCGAGAGCGAGCGCGCGAGCACGAGGAAAACCACACCGCAGGCGAGAGCCGCGATCTGCCATGGCGCCAAGATCCCGCCTTGCTGCGCCTCCGCGACTCGACGAGAATAGCCGCAACGTGCAGCGTGCGCAAGGGACGACGTTAAGGAGGGGTAGGAGGAGGTATCGAAGGACCAAGCGGCGGGAAAGGACCCCGGGGAGCTTTTAAAAGCGGTCGATCCGTTTCCACTGGCCCATTCGGCGCACGAACCCGGGTTTCCCGCACCGGTTCGGTTGATAGCAGACGACCAGAGTGCTGACGTGGCGCGATGGAGAGAGGCGGGTGCGGACCAGGACGAGCTGGGGTCGCTGGTGTGATTGGAAAGCCCTGCACTGGCCAGCACGGCGGGAGACGCGGAGTCAAAAATGCGAAGAGCGGCGGACTTTAACGCGTCGACGAGAGACGTCGCAGCCATGGCGGTCGGGACGGGAGCGAACCGTAAGCGCAGCCTTGGAGCAGCACTGGAACTTACGAAGTTCAACCGCCGACCATTACAAGACGGAAGGGCAGGAGCAGGAGAGGAGGGGCTAGGTGGCAATCCCGATGGAGGGAAAAAATGGTCAGCCTCTGGTGTCTTCAGCTGATGCTTGCTGGCCAGCCAACATGGAGAGCAACTCCGAACCGAACTAGACAGGTTCGACCAAGAAAGTCTTCGACGATCGAGTGTCCCTGTCCGTTCATTCATTGCCCCTGCCTCACACCGTGCCTGACTTTATGCTCAGTCCGAACCGGAACAGCCCACCACGGAAATGTCCCGCCGCCTATTTTGTGGGACGATCTGGCTGTCAGAGCGGATCTGACGTCGACATGTCGGAGGCATGTCGAGAAATGCGGTTAATCCGATATATAAATCCGACGAACAAAAACTCTCGACATCTAACCGACGGTTGTTGTCGACGGTCACTTCGGCTCGGTCACGGTGTCACACAGAAAGAAGAACTTCCAGAAATAAGGTGGAGGGTTTGCGAGCCTGCAGACGTGGTTTGGATAACAGACAAACAGCGAATTCTGGGAAGTATAGCTTGCTTCGTTAAACGTTAACAAACCAGGAAACGTAACAAAACTTAACAAATTACGAGTGAGACTAGACATTGCAGTAGTAGGGAAGAATGTCATGACGACACACTCTTCCTGTGCTGTACTATCAGTGCTGAAGGTTCCACACACAAGTGCCTCTGTCGCTGGTCCCCTCATGCCGCCTTTCCCCGTTCTTTAACGATCGGTAGAACAAAACCCTCGTTTTGCCGGTCTCCTGCGCCCACAACACGTGGCGAGCCGCGCAGCCAGCGTCCCGCAGCAGGCAGGCAGGCCGGCAGCCCGATTGAGGCGGGCGTGGCGGGATGGCTTCGACGCCGAGCTTGCTGGCGGTGGCGGCGAGTTTACGGCAGTCGGCGGGTGGCATGGCGGGGTGGTCGCTGGAGGACCTGACGCTGGGGCTGTACCGGCTTAGCCTGAAGCACGCCGCCGGGAAAGACGTCGACGCCATCCCCGGGGACGTCGTCCGCAACAGGTGCGGGTGGCGATCCGGGATGGGGATGGGGATGGGGAGGGATAGGGTGTCGGAATTGGGGATGCGGGTGGGGATGCGGGTGGGGATGGGGATGGTGATGGGGGTGAGGGTTGGGATGGTGGGATGTTATGAGTGAGGAAACGAAGGAGAGACAGAGCGAGGGAGCGAGGGAATGAGGGGAGACCCTTGCTCCCTGTTCGTCGCTTTGTGGCGTCATGTCATGCTCTCTGCTCTGATCCAGGGTGTTGCTGGTGCTCTGATCATGTCATCCCATATTTCTTTCGCGACGCTGTGTCTTTCGCGACGCTGTGTCTTTCGCCACGCTGTTTCTTTCGCCACGCTGTTTCTTTCGCCACGCTGTGTCTTTCGCCACGCTGTGTCTTTCGCCACCAGGAATGACCTGGAGGAGATGCTTCATTGGCTGCGGTGGGCCATGTCAGCATATGAGACAGACGCTGCCGCCCTCGCGACACATCTCAGGGTGAGTGCTGCGCCCATCCATGCGTGCATGAGGTGGTAGCATGAACCCGTGAAAGCGTGTGCTGCTTGTGCGTTCATGGCTCTGCTGCTGCAGCACTAACATGCCCAGGTCTCCCACCCACATGCTCGTTCGTGTTGTCGTGCGAACATGTTATGCTCTGCATCCATGATGACTCAAAAATCGACTCATCACACGCGGATGTTATGTTCTGCATCCATGATGCATTTTTGTGTGGAACCAAGGTGAGATGTGTGATTACATGCCTGCCAACATGACTGCATGCCTGCTGGTTTAGTTTCGTTGTTCCCATCGTTGTCTGTCAACATCTGCCACCATCTGGGTCTGCCTTTATATCACACCCTCAACTCCTCGCTCCTCCAATCCCAAGCTTCACCCCACACCCCACACCCTCTCCAGATCCCACAGTCGGCCATCCACAGGCATGTGAGCACGTCGTTATTGCACCGCCCAGCTCACTTCGTGGCTGTGAGCGAGGAGAACCGGTGTGTGGTGGTGGGCGTGCACGGCACTCCAAGCCTCCTGCCCCGCTCTCCACTCCTCCCATCCAAATTTACTCAACCCACACCCCGCAAACCACTCTCTCCACCCCCTCTAGATGCCCCAGTCGGCCATCCACAGGCATGTGGTTTGGGCACGTCCTCCGTGTCCCATTCCTAGCTTCACTCCACGCTCCCCCTCTTCCACTCCCCACGCTCTCCAGATCCCCCAGGGCGCCATCCACAGGCATGTGGGCACGTCCGCAGTGCACCGCCCGGCGCACTTCGTGGCGGTGAGCGAGGAGAGGCGGTGCGTGGTGGTGGGCGTGCGCGGCACGTCGCACCCTGCCGACGTCCTCACTGACCTCTGCTCACACGCTGCTGCTTTCGCTGATGGGTGCGTGCTGTGGTGGCATGGTGGGTCAGTGGGCTGCTGCGTGGCAGGTTGTTGGGTTGGGATGATGTGGCGATGAGGTAGTGGGGCAGTGGGTGGGGTGGTGAGGGTGGTTGGATCTGAGAGAAATCTATGCATGTGCACCAGCACAAGCATGGAGGAGAGGCGGTGCGTGGTGGTGGGCGCGCGCGGCAACCTGCACTCTGCTGATGTCCTCACCGACCTCTGCTCACACGCTGCTGCTTTCGCTGATGGGTGCGTGCTGTGGGGGGGCCGTGTGGTGGTGGTCTAGTGCGTGGTGAGGAGGTGGTGCGGTGATGAGGTAGTGAGGCAGTGGGGGTGTGAGGTTGTACCACAGAGAACTTTATGGATGTGCATGGGCATACGTCGCTTAATTCAGGCTTCGAACAGAATCGTCAAACCCTCTCGTTGCCCGATTTCTTTCTTCCCCAGCGCTCATCCCCTTCGCCAATCCACAAGGTTCGCATTCCCTATTCTCCCTCCCCTCCTCCCTCTCTCCCTCCCTTCTTCCCTCCGCCCGCAGGCATGCACACGCGGGCATGTTGGAGGCAGCCAAGTGGGTGGCCCAGTCACAGGGTCAGCTCATTGCACAGCTGCTCTCGCAGAATCCTGTCAGTTGCCCTGCACTGCACTGCACCCCGTCTCCTCCCCGCCCTGTGTGCTGTTGTTTTTATAGTGGCGCTCTCAACATCCATGCTTTGCAGTTCCCATTCAGTTCATAACCTGCAATACGTGCCACTCTGCCATGCTTAACCATCTATCTTTCACCTCTGCACTCCCCTTCCCACCCGCTCGCTTTTTCCGTGCACGCCTTCCCTCCTCTCTCATAACCAATCTCCCTCCCCCCATCCCACCATCCCTCCGCCCATCCCGCAGGGCTATTCACTCGTGACGGTGGGGCACTCCCTGGGGGCGGGCACAGCAGCGCTGCTCGCCATGCTGCTGCGCCACCCGCCCTCCCTGCCCGCCCTCTCCCTCTCCCTCTCCCCGCACCTCCTCCCCGCACCCGCGCTCTCCCCCTTCTGCTGGGCCTTCGCATGCCCCTGCATAGTGTCCCAGGACCTTGCTGAGACCGCCTTCTTTATCCGCACCGTGGTGCTGCAGGTAGGGTTCAGGATGCAGGGGCAGCGGGATGCTGCATGATGCATGCATGGTACATAGCACTGCATGGTGCGTGCACCTCTGCATGTCCCTGGATAGTGTCCCAAGTCCCTGCTGAGGATGCTTTCTTCATCCGCACGGTGGTTCTGCAGGTAGAGTAGAGGGGCAGGGGAGTACTGCATGGGGCAGGGGAGTGCTGCATGGGGCAGTAGCATGCATGTTGCACAGCACTGTGTGGAGCTAGCTTGGTATGTGCACGCATGCTGCATGGGGCCCGCCATGCTGCCATGCAACTGCTCTGCCTCTCAGCTCACATCATGCCCTTACGGTGCCGGCAGCTTTCTTCTCTCGGGAAATCATATTGTTACAAGATTGTCTTGTATTATAACTCTTCCTGATCTAATTGTCTCATCCTTTCCTGCCATCATCTGTACCCTAGGGACTCGGCACTCCCTCACCCCCTCCCCCCCCACACCCCCACTTCCTTTTGTGTGACATCACAAACGTTTTGTCCTCCCTGCCCTACTGCACCCCCTCCCACTCCACCCTATTCCACTCTGCCCCACCCAACCCACCTGTTACGCACACCAGGATGACATTGTGCCACGCATGTCAACTGCAGCTCTCTCCGACCTCCGGACTGAAATCCTCTCCACTGACTGGTGCTCCTCCTCCCTCCTCTCTTGCTCTCTTACCCCACTTATCTCCACCGCACAACTCCTCTCCTCCTTTTTTTCCCAGCCCACACCTTCTTCCTCATGCATGTGTCCCTTCCTCTTAACTTCACTCCCCTCCCCTTCCCCCTCACCCACCCTCTCTCCAACCTCCACTCCCCGCTTCCCACGTCCCCCCTCCACAGGGCAGCAGTGGTGCGGGATAACCCCGCAGCAGCGCGTCTGGCATCACTCGCCTCATCCACGCAGACTGCCCTCGAGTCATCTCTTGGCATTTCCCAGGGCCAGCTGCTCCCCACGCTCTCCTCCCACGCTGCTTCCTTCTTTCGCTCTGTCTCTACTCCCGCTGCTTCTGCGGGAGGGGGCGGAGGGGGCGGGGGAGGAGCAGGTGGGGCAGGGTGGCTGGCATTTGCTGGCCGTGTTGCTGCTTCTGTGTCTGCTGCTGTGGAGACACAAGGTGCGTGGGTGGGAGGGATGGATGAATGGATGGATGGATGGACGGACGGATGGATGGACGGATGGATGGATGTATGGATGGATGTATGGATGGATGGATGGATGGATGGATGGATGGATGGATGGATGGATGGATGGATGGATGGATGGATGGATGGATGGATGGATGGATGGATGGATGGATGGATGGATGGATGGATGGATGGATGGATGGATGGACATCAGAGGATGTGGTAGGGAGCTTGAGGTCCTGCCTGTTGCTTCTCTCTCTCTCTCTCTCT